CGTGTGCTCTTCCGATCTACGTGATCCGGAAAAGAAGATCAAAGGTGCCGACATGAAGTGGACCTACAGGTTATACTGTGGTCAAAGCATCAGATTTTGTATTAATTTTAATTCTAGCTGCATGGATCACAAATGATTGGAAAATTGAGAAAGTATTGCTGGAAATAATTCAGACATAATTCAGACATAATTCAAGGCTCTCATACAGAAAAAAATATAACAAAATCATTAATTCGTGTTTTGGAAGATTTTGAAATTGCTGGCCAAATTCTTGCTATATATAATTTCAGTCTTATAGCAATTGTGATTTTATGTTTCGTGAACTTAGCTTACTTAGCTCTCAGCGATAAGTAGTCTGTAGATCGAATATTAATTAAAATAATAAAACTTATAAACTGAATAACTCAAATTATGTTACCTTTCAGGGAATAAACTTTATAGAGGCTAATCAAAGAATACGGTGTCTTGCTCACATAACTAATTTAGCTTGCCAAGATGCTTTATCAATACTTAAATTGACAGGTACGGTTAAAGGTAATGACTATGATCATGACTTTGAAACATTTCAAACTAATGATGATTTTGACGATCTGGGCAAGACTACTCTCCAATTATGAATGATTCTACTTATGAAAGGGTATGTTAACACATCCACATAATTTAATTTCTTGAAATCTAGCCTTGAAAATAATTTATAAATGTAAATTATATATAGTTATATGTTTTATATTTTTATTGTAAATCCAGAATAATATTGTTAAAATTAGACTGTCAGATGACATGAGGTCAAAATTTAAAAAAGCTTGTGAGGTCAATAACATTTCATTCAAGACTCTGATACTAGGTTATAACACGGTGGAACACGACATTTGATATACTATCTCGAGTACTTCAAATGCGAATAATAATAATTAAAATACAAATGTTACTTTTTAGAATATAAATTATAGACCTGATCTAATCTAAAAAATTTTTACGCTCGATTTTATTAATATTTATAGGCTTACGAAAGCATTGTAAAACCTGAGAGGTCTCTTTGAAAGTATGATCTTGATGATTCAGAATAGTCTCAAGTAGAAAATATAATAGCATTTCTTAAGGTAAAGTTAAATTGCTTTAAATAAAAATAAAATATCCAACACAGCATGAAATATTTTTTATGAATCATTTTTTTGAAATATTCCAATTAAATATTTCAGAAATATTTTGTAAACATTTGTAAAACGTTTTAAATTATTACATTATATTATAATAATTCACAAAAATATTTTCGAAATTTTGTAGAAATGTAAGAAATATTTCTGTTGAAACATTTCAAGAAATATTTTGAAAACTCTGATTTCTTATATTTATACATATTTATATTTTAGAAATATTTCATGAAAAATTCTCGAATATTTAAAATTTTATATGAAATATTTTGAAATATTTCTGCAATATTTTATGCTGTGTTGGATAAATACTGTTTCTGAATACAAATATTAATGATTAATTTTAACACTCTAGTTTTTTGATGAGACTCGTTTGTCGAAAGTGAAAAGTCCATCAATGTCTTTATCAGCTGCGATATACATAAATTTGTATAATTATTTGGAATCGTATAACGAAAAAGGAGGACGGATAATGGAAGCGGCAAAGTTATAGCATGTAAAAAACTTAATAAATACTATCCTACGACCGATGGCTTTGTATACGTTTGGAGATTAGGTTAATTTATAAACATGGAATATGACATATATTTATTTTATATGAAATTATTATAATATAATATAGGTTTTATAATTTCTCAAAACTTAGTTTTAGATCCGCGCTGTAAGTTGAACTGATATAGACAAGTTGGTTTTAAAGCCGACGTTATTAAAGCCAATAAAGACGTCATAATGCAGGATTAGTATTTAATATATTCAGCAGCTACCGCGGTTAATGATTTAAGTAATGGAGAAAATTCAAGTGAAGATTTGATTGCATCACAAATAAAGAAAGCTAAATATGAAAATAAGAACGACCTATATCTTGTCTTACTATATCTATTGGTTTTAAGAATTTTGTAGCACCGTTTGTATTATAACACTCTATTATGTAGTTTACAGTAACATTGTTACAAACATTGAATGGATTGTTTCACATAACGTCGGCGGTACTTAATTAAAATCTTGCAAAAAATAGGGTATACTTTGGAATCTGATAACTCAGTTCCTAGACAACCTAGAACAATTTTCTTTATGAATTTTCTTTCTATTTTAAAGGGAATGTTCTCATTCAAAACTAATGCAGTGACGTTTTTCGCCTCGTTGTTGCTTTGCCCATGGAAGGCTGCAATATCATAACATTTTTAACTCCACACTCTCTACTTTTTTACGAAAAAAACAGTTTAATGGGATGGAAAATTTCATTTAGGTCATTTTAAAGTAGAGGCCATACCCCTGAAAACGCGCTAAGAAACAATGTCCTGCGATTTCTGGAAGCCGAGATATTGGTTTCTTAAAATTAACAAAATTTGCAGATTTTAAAGTGCTCCCCTAATTTTTTTTCGTATTGCATATCTGAAATGATCTTGAAGAGAAGTTTTTATACACTATATTTTTATACACTATAAATACTATTTTATGCTTTATGCTTTCTTCCATCTTTTTTCCTTCCTCTTTCATTCTTTGATACGTGACAGAAGAAATTTCTTTATTTAAAATTGCACTCAAAATTAATCCTTTCCTTTCCTTCTCATGAAAACCGTTAATAAAAAATTAAATCCAACAAAGATTTGATACCAATAACTGTAAAAAACGGTAAAACGGTAAAAAATTACAATTTTATAAGAAAAACTTTATAAAAATAAAAATTTTTTAAAAATAAAACTTATAAGTAGTATGTATCTTTGTATTTCTATTAAAGATCTTTCTATTCCAACCGAAGTAGTAGCTTTAATTTTTTGCAAAATTGTGTTACCTTTTTAATCCGAGTGATATGTATATAATACACGCTACTCAAAAAAAAATATTCTATTAAATTAATAAATAAAAACTAAATGACATTATCTTTCATATTTATGCATTAAAATCTAAGTGGCAGTTTATTATGAAATAAAAGAGATTTCATCACAAACGGGTTAAAAAAGTATATGTATTAACTTTGTACCTATTCAACTCAATTCCTGTCTCAAATGATAATAGTTATTTAAATCTCCTTTAAAATATTATTACATCACAAAATTGTGTTACTTTACTTAACTCAAATATTAACACGAAGAATTAAAGAAATAACAGTACAAAATAAAAGAAAAAAATTGTTATGTAAAAACGCTTGGTGTTGCTGGACCAAAGAAAGCAATGAAAATAATATAAAAGATGAATTACATTGACAATAATTTTTGAATGTTACATTGAATAAAAACCTAGACAATTGCTTATTGTTTAATATTAAATTTATATATAAATTATACAATAGCACACTTGTATTACATACAATCAAACTTATATTCTTGTATAAGTACTGTTATATCTTATAAATCTAAAGTTTTATTCTAAAGCTTCAATCTAATTAAGAGTTGTATCCTATATCTACATAATTCTAAACCACATGACGATATAACTTGCTCATATATATACCTACAAATATACTCATGCTGATTATTTTTACTCCTGTTTCTTATTTTTACTTATTTAGTTTAAATTATATTCAAGTTTTTACACTATTCATTATTATATATTTTAAAATATAACAACGCCAAGTGTTTTTACATATTTTTTTAAATTATATTTTTTCTCTCACTGTTATTTCTTTAATTCTTCATGATAATATTTAAGTTAAGTAAAGTAACACAATTTTATGATGTAATAATATTTTAAAAGAGAATTAAATAACTATTATCATTTGGAATAGGAATTGAGTTGAATAGGTATGTGGCGGTACTGTCGTACCAGAGAAAAGCGTGAGAGCGGCCATCCCGGCGTTTTTCGCAACACTAGTAAAAGTTTTGACCTCCCCGTATACTAGCGTCAATTGCTTCCACTTTTGAGATGGAACTACATACACAACCATTGTCATTGGCTTGTATCTCAAAAGTAGAAGCAATTGGCGCTAGTGTACGGGGAGGTCAAAACTTTTATCGGTGTTGCGAAAAACACCGGGATGGCCGCTCTCATGCTTCTCTCTGCTATAACTGGTTTCGGCAAAAGTTACAGCATGTATAAAGCAGGCTTAATAGTTATGTTCATGAAACCGGCTATAATATACTGACTGACGATAAAAACAAAAGAAATATAACATTAATGACATGAATTTTATTTTCATTGAAAATAATTAATTTATGAAAAGAGAATATTTTTTTTATCGACGCAATGAAGAAGTACTTTTCCCTATCGGATATTACAAAGATTGTTCCAAATGATCCATTGCACCTAACATTTCACAGCAAAGTAATTAATGATAAATCTGAATTTTATAGATATTTTTATATAAATTATAAATTAAATAAATTACACTTATCAATTATTACATAAATAAATTATTAATATATTTTATATAATTTTTCTATATTTCACTACTCACTATATACTATGTTTTTATATAATATATTTTATCTTTTACTTTTTCACTAAGGAAGTACAGAATGCATTAGAAGTAGCAGCAGCAAAAGTTAAAATGCATCATTATGAGAAATTCGATATCAGTTCAAAGGAATGCAAAGTAATGGAATCGCAAAATTTATGCTTTAATAAAATAAAGGACACTGTTGAAAAAATATCTGTTACTGGCTTGCTTTCGGTAAGATTGCATTTTAAAAGTAATTATTTATTAATATGTAATTGTAATATTATATAAAAAGTAAATATTGAATAATATGTAATTATTATGCAAGCTTTAATCTATAAAAAGTTATGTAGCAAAGATAATAATTGACATGTTGCTCATTTTAGTAATAATGAGTTATAATAATCTTTATTCAGAATTCATTAATAGATTTTACCAAAATTTATTATTAGATTATTATTGAATTATCAAATAGAATTTGTACTCTTTCACTAAGAAAATATATTAAATTTTCAGAATGTATAATCTTTTAGAATTTATACTTACAAATTCAGATAGACAAAAAATTTAGAGTGCATATTATATTTCTTTTGTACATATTGTAGGTGACACATGTAGATACCTTTAATTTTTTTAAATATATAAAAATAAAGAAAAAAAACAATAAAAATATATATACTTGCATGTTAGTTTTGTTTATCATGTATTTATTTCTAAATAAATTTATGTAAAAAGAAAATATTATATTTTTATGTATATTAGCGTTGACAATTAATGTTATAATCGCATAGTATATATATATATATGCATTAGGGTAGGCCAAAAAAAATAAATTTTTGAAAATCGATTAGTAATACCCTTCAAAGGTTATATATGGACTTTAATATGGCTTGGGAAAAATTTCATCAAAATCGATTAATATCTTGAGGTTGCCTCTCGATCTTAAAATTAGTAAGTTTATGCATTTCTTGGATATATGTGTGAAAATTCGAAAATATACTTGAATTTCGATACAATATGATATTACCTGTTGTTTTTTGGTCGCTAAACACGAATCCAAAGTCAGAAGTACACATTTTAAAATGACGGATCCGAAATATATTCTTATAAGAATGTCCCATTTTAAACAATATATTAAGATTTTTCGAAAAATATGGTAGATGCGGAAAAATGTTTCAAACAAAAATTGTATAGTTTGGGGGGAAACATAAGAAGGTATTGATTTCATTTTGGGTGGCATCGTTAAGATCAGATCAATTTTTTTAATGGAATTGTATATTTTTTTACACAATCTTATTTTTCTAATTATTCTGCATATATAAGTATTGAGGTAAAGTTATCAAAAAATTGATACTTTACAAGATATTTTATTCTTTATTATGCTATATATATCAATATATTATATGAGATATTTCGTAAACTATTGATTTTATGATAATGGTACGTAATATTTTTAGGCACAGAATAATGAGATAAATCGATTGGTGTAAATAAAACACACATATATATATATATATGTATATAATATATATAATATATATATATACAGTTGCTTTAAAAAAAAAATGTAATTTGCAAGAAATGCATAAACTTACTAATTTCAAGATCGAGGTTTAACCTAAAGATATTAATTGATTTCAATGAAATTTTATCCAGACCATATTGAAATTCTTAGCTAACTTTTAGAGGATATTACTAATCGATTTTCGAAAAATTATTTTTTTTTTGCCTATTTTGATATATTGCCACCCCC